CAACCTTGGTGATTCTATGATTCTATGATTGAGCTTAACAGAACCTGCTGTTTGAGTTACACTTCACCTTTCTGGTCAGAGAATCTAAGCTATGCATACAGACAGTTTTCCATTTCTTCTGATGCTTGAGAACATAACTGCTTTCAGGCTTCAAATTCTATCCTCTTTGGTGCTGTTTCTGATGGTGAGTCATCAAGCACCTGTTTTTCTTGGTATTTTTATTTAAAGACCGAACTCTAACTGCAATAGAACTACCTTGGATATCTGTGCTGCTGGAAGACCTCTTCTCACCAATCCTTTGGGAGCGATGATAGATTGGACTTCCCACATCATCTAACATTTGGGTTGGAAAGTCTCCTGAACAGTGAGATAAGTTACCGTGTGATGTATGGATACTGTTGGCTGACTGCTTATTAAAAACCCTTCAAAAAGAAGAAAGTAATTAGAAGCATGAATAATACAGAATTAAATGATTTTTTTTTCCATCCCAACGCACTAAAGATCTTTCATTTCATTGCTGCTCATGAACATTTGTATTTGCCCTGTCATTAGTAAAGCCAAAATTAAAAAGCAGTATGGCAATTTATTTTTAATTAAGTATATATATTTTTTTCTTTCATGTAAATCAGCTCTTTCAGATCTCTGCAAAGTTTAATTTTTCAGATTTTGAAAATAGAGCAAATCTGCTGAAGGACCAGAATAATATAGCAGCTATTCCATCCTGTTCTCACACTTTCCTCTGAAAGATTCTCTGCCCACCTGTTACCCACTATTCACAAATAAACACATAGAGGTTAAAATTTTGCCAGGTACTGCTGCAGGATCTACTTTTCTGCATGAAAAAGAGCAAGCAACAACAACAAAAAAACATGAAACAAAACATTAAAAAAACAGCAAATATGTTGAACCTGAAAGAGACCTAAATCCACTGTAAAAATCTCCTCTCAAGATGTGGACAGAAAATAGTTAAGTCTAATCAATGTAGATGTGAACAAAAAGGCCTACTAGCCAAGTACTATTGCTTAATGAATTCTACCCTATTCAGCAGAAGGAAATAGACTGAAAAACATTAAAACATGCATTTGCCCAAGCTACTGTCACTTAAATAAATGTGGACCTAAAAAATAAAAATGATTACTTCAAGTTCCCAAAGAATCACAAGGCCATGTCAAAGAAAACAAAGGGAGGGGTGACGGGAAGAGAAAAATCTTGTATGATTCTTATGCAGTAAGAGCTAGAAGAGTATAAAAAGTCTTGAGATTTCATACTTAATGCTTTCCTGGGGAGCTGCAAAGTTAAATCCCCCAGGTTAAAGTTTATGAATACAGTCTAAATCAGTCTTAAAAGGTAGGAAGTTGAGAGACAAGGACAAAATCTCTGTTTTTACTTAGCATTTCCTGGCTTTTGTTAGTACAAGTCTGACTCAAGTATTGCATTTTTGTATTTAGTTCTCTGTTAAAAAGCAATACAACACTTTCCTGTGTAGAACTGTGAAACATACAGATACTGCCACACCAGTAAACACCAGAGTTCAGAAGTTCTTTTTTAACGCTAACTAGCGTCTACGTTAAAGTAAATCCTTACACAGCAATTGTCAATGTTTTTGCAAGTCTTAATATGCAAAGTGACACTGCTTTGGAATTTAAGTCAGATTTCATTGTCAACATAATACATAGTAATCAACTACCAAAAATGTGTAAAAGAAAAAAAAAAAACTTAAAACATGGTAACACACCAGGATTCATTTTATTCTTCCAAAAGTTCTGTTTCACTGCTAAACATCTATGCATTGCATGCAATTCTAAAGCAAACAAATATCAGCATTAGTTTGAGACTCACCCATCAATCTGGGAGCTCTGGGTTTCAAAAGAACCTGGTTCAATACGAACACCTTCCTTTGGCAAACTTTTCACAAACTCTGAATACTGCTGACCAGGGTCATAAAGTTTGGCACTCTCACAGAGCGACTGGCAGTTCACTGGAAGAGATACAACCTGTGCATGCTGCAGCTGGAACAGGTTAACTGTTACCTGTTAGGAGAAGAAATATTCCGGTGTTTGTATATCACTCACTAGGTATTTCTCAAATTAGTATCAAGACAATTTAAAGAAAACTACTAGAAAATTCTAGGAAATGGTAAAACTTGTAGGAGTGGACTTCATGCAGGATTCCTGGATGTCTACTGCAGATGCTTTTTATGAGGCAGTATTTCTCTTGTCTTCTCTGGCTTAACAAATACACCAACTAGAAAAGAGTTCCAGTGGTTTCCTACTTTGGATTGAACAGGATAAACAGCATGGCTTGTTGCTACCAAAAAGGCAATTTTCACCCTCTGGAGGGAATGTTACAAGGGCTGCTCTGAAAGTAATGTCTCTACCTCATTATGTTTATCCATGACATCAGAGGTGGATGTCAGTTGTATGGCAGTTTTCCTTCACCCTTAAGAATCTTTACATACCTCTTCTTAAAAATTAGGCCAAGTCGCCTTACTGCCAATAGTATTTTAAAAGGCATACTCACAGCTTTAAGTGTTAGATCACACTGGTAAATAAGTTCCCGAAGCTGCGTTAAAACATCACTTTTAAAGCTTTCCAAATCACTTCTTTTTTCTTCAACTTCTGCCATGCTTGCTTTATAGTATTCATTGGCCTCTTCAGCCTAGACAGAACACAAGTAAAAAGGGTTGACGAACTACTTGCTACTAGAAGTGAGAAAAACTATAAGCACACACACAAAGCACAGCCTGTAATGGGAGATTCCCATTTAGGATAAAAGCCCAAATGAACACAGCGTGATTAAAGTGAAGAATTACGAATAGAACACTTGCTCAGATGATCTCAGTGGGAAAGCATGAGCAAAACCAATAGGTAACAAAAATTCGTACTTTTTGAAGAGCCTCCTCTTCTAGCCTTCGTTTTTTTTCCAGCTGCTTGCTGACATCTTTTGCAAAGCTTCCACTTGAACTAAGATGTTCCTCTTCAGCACGAGCAGTACAGGATTTGGCCTTTTCATACTCATCTTGACGCTGTGTATACAGCAACTTTGCTTTTCTTAGAGAAGCTTCCAGCTCTTGCTGCAGATTGCCACAAAAAAAAAACCAAAATAATGATTTAATTATTTCTTGGTTATTTAATGTGCTGTTTTAAAACGATGTTACACATACATCTTCGTAGTTTACTTTTTTTTTTAAACTTTGTAGTTTAAACAAAGTCATAGAAAAATAAGTACTTACAAATAGGAATGAGCTGTGAAATTGGTAGTAACGTTCTACATCAACTAAACCTTACAGATTCTACATGTGAATTGAAGCACATAACATGACACAGCCTAGCTTGAAAGCACTGACCTTCTGAAGAATTTGAGATTTAACACCGTAAGATATGAAAAATACCAACCATTTTTTTCTGTTCACGCTGCCAAAGCTCCTTGATTTCTTTCCTTTGTCTATCCAACTCATTTTTTCTTCCCAAAAGAGGCTACATAGGAAATATTAATAGAGTATGTAAAAGACTTAGAAGCAGAAAATTTGTTCTTTCAAATAATCCGTGCTGTTAGAAAACTTCTTAAAAATCTAAAAAATAACTTGTCATTTTCTGTAGCCTTACCTGCACAAATTTGTTAGACTGGAGAGCAGCAGCTGTTTGTTGCCAAAGTTGATTGTTCTCAATATCATTTTGAAAAGCATTAAGGAATATTGATTGGAATGGCATATAATCCTAAAACGACAGAGAGAAAAAACATTAGTATTCTAGGTAATGCAGAGTTATGCTGGCACCATAAATGTCAGTATAACTGAACTAGACTTCCTATTGCGCTTAGCGAAGTACTAATGTGTGGTGGAGGTCATTTAGATACGAATAGTGAAAGCGACTGATTTCTCACATTTCATTTTACTAGGAAAACACAAAATCTACAAGTCCAAACTACAAAGCATAGAAGACAGAGGAAAAAAAACATCTGTGCAAATTTTCATAGAGGATGAGAAGAGAAAATACAAGAGATCTTTTACGGTGACTTGCACTATAAATCAATTCTGTATCAGACAAAAAGCAATGTATTCCTCAATGTCCCAAAATCTTGTCTTTTGAGGAAAGCCTCCTACTCACCTGGGGTCCAACTACAGCTTTAGCAGTTTCTGCCATTTTTGCTAAGTTTTTAGCACACTCCACCTCTGTTAAAAAACAAAATCACACAATTAACTGTTCACTGTAGCAACTGTATGACATGCTAAACGCTTTTTACATTCTTCCTCCAAGAGATAGGTGAGAACCACCTTCACTTTACTATAGGCCTTTAATTATAGGAAATGGATAATAGTTCTGTCCATTTCAGTGGAATAGCTTCTAATTTAGAAATCACATTATTGACAGTCTGCAGCACAGGGGCCTGACAACAGATTTAATTCCATCATGACAAAGCTGATTAAATACCAAAAAGAGCCACTCACCCAAGCTAAGCTTTTTTTCTACCCATGCGACTACATCCTTGGTATATTTTGACCACGCTTTAGCATACGACAGAGCTGATTCAATTCCACTGTCATTTCTTAGGAGCATGCTGTCCACTTCCTCTGCTCGAAGATGTCCTGAAAATAAAGCATCAAACGCAAAGGAGTGAATTTTAGACATGACCACACACTGAGTGCAAAGCCAGTATTAGCCAACTGTGAATACTTAAGCAGCTCTCATCCCAAGTTGTTCTTTAATGCCAGTTGACTCTAAACAGGACTGACAGAGGTTTTAGAACAAATTAAAGGGTCATAGTATTCTATCTTTACTAGTCACATGGTTAGCATAACTTTCTTTAAGGAAGTGACCAAACAAAACATCGGCTGTACAATGACACACTGAAGTGCTTTGGGTCTTGTTTTCTTTATTTCTCCCATAAAAGCAACTCCAAGTGGTTATTCACAGAAGTATAAAACCTCTGCAATAGTAATTTTTTTATGGTAATGTTCTCTGGAATTAAAGGTGTTACAAACAAAGTGACCAAGATAAACACAACTCTCCGTCTGTTTTCATTAAATATTAAAGTAATGACCCACCTTGAATATCATCCCTTTCATGCAGTGAACCCCCAGACTCCACAGAGAGATTCTCAAAAGACTGGTGTACAAGAAATAAAAAGATCAAATTAGAAAAGAAAAGCAGAACAGGTCTTGCTAGAACTAACGGGTTAACAAATTCAATGACATCACCTGCCCTTTGCCCCTCCCCCATGTTTTTTTTTTGTTGTTGTTGCAAATCAAGCAAGAAATTCCTGTAATTTCTTCTCATCTAATACAGGTTTCTGTCTAAGCTCTCACAGCTGTTAACAGAGACATTACAAATAGCAGAATATCATGACATATCTTTTAACCAACCGACTTGAAAGGCTGTAATGAAAAAAATGATTTAACACATTGGATTAATATTTAAGCCATCAATAGCTTTCACTGGACTTTTGCATGCAGCTTTGGGTGCCACAAAATAAGGAGGACGTGGAACTATTAGAGAACATCCAAAGGAGTGCTATGAAGACGGCAGGGAGCTAGAGGAATGGCTGAGGACCCGATGAGTGCTCAGCCCAGAGCTTCAGCTTCTCACAGGGAGCAGAGGGGCAGCACTGAGCTCTGCTCTCTGTGACAGCAACAGGGCCCAAGGGAACAGCATGGAACTGTGTCAGGGGAGGGGCAGCTGGGGGTCAGGGAAAGGGTCTGCACCACAGGGCGGTGAGCACGGCTCTAAAACTGTCAGAGTTCAAGGAGCATTTGGACAACACTCTCAGACATAGGGTTTGATTTTTGTCTGGTCTGAGTAGATCCAGGAGTTGGACTCAATGATCCTTGTGGGTCTCTCCCAACATGGGATGTTCTGTGATTCCCTACCTATATTTCTGAAAGCATTTTACACAGACCTATTGTAATATACATGTAACAGACCTTTCTACAGCCCTTTAGAATCCTGGATTTCTTCCTTAGGGGAATAAAGCTATGATTTTTCCTAAATTACTTGCAGGTGTGCACTGTAGGCAGACAGCAGACTAGTAACACTTTCTAACGGAGCACTAATAATCAGTACAACTTAAGAATGTAATCCAATAATAAGGAAATTGAATTTACCTTAGTGTAAAATCTTATCCCTACCTTTGTCCAGACGCAACATTTTGCCACCCCTTTACTTATGCAAGTAGAATTATTTGTAGGGCTGTGCTGTAAAGCAGGCCATTGAGTAAGTGCAAGTGAATGAAGAAGTCTACCTACTGAAAACCTCCCCCTGGCATTTAAATATTTATGTATTTCAAAGGCCTGCATCATTTTAAATGAATGAATTACTCTGGGAAACTCAGAAGCAGAGAGGATGCAGAAGGTAAAGGCAAAGAAATATCTGCACAGTAGTCTTAAGCTTTAGAAGAAGAGTGCGCTTCCATTTTAGATTTTGGTGTTGTTTTTATTTTCAGACAAAGTTAAAATAGAGAATGGTAGTAATGGTGCAAGTAGGGCTTTTTGTTTTTGTCTTTTTATTTAAATGTAAATAGGAACTTATCATAAATAAGAAAAGTCCCTGTACAATCACCGTTTACTTCACAGCAAAAATAGTTTTCTCATATATCCAAACGTGCAAGGTATACACTAGTTACACTAAATTCAATCTAACAACAGGGTCAAGAACAGCCCAATTCCTAAAGAAGTGGAAGACTTCAATAGTAGCTATCTAATTGTAAGGTTTTGGTGAAATGGAATGACATTTTTAAGAATAGGTAGGAAGTCCATCCCTAAACTCTGATTTTTTGTTTTGTTGATATACAGCTTTGAATGCACCAATATTCCATTACACAGAAAACGTGAACATTCCACAGATCCAGTTTTTATTTTAGTGTCAAGCAGTGCCATCTTGAAGTAGCTTTTAAAGTGAGATACACTTGTTAGGAAAGAATAAACGAGAAAATAAAACAACAAATTAGATCAACTCAATAGGTACTTAGAAGTTCTGGTCCTAAAAAATTACTTTGCACTCTGTAAGACTAAAATCATTTTAATCTTGAGAACTGTTCACTCATTTCCAGCAGTTCAAGCACACAGTCTTGTTAGGAGGCCCCTAATTGAACAGACAACTAAAATGTTTCTCCTTAATTAACCCTCAAGCTATTTACATGTTAAATTCTACCAGAATACTACGCTCTAATTTTTTTTTTAAAGGTACAGCTAGCTCCTACGTTCAACTACTGAACGTATACCTCTACAAAAATGCATAGTTAATATAGCTACTTATATATTTTGCATTTAACTCCTCTTAACTCAACTACTAGTTGGCCTCCAAATTGCTCTCTGAGTAGCAAACCCAAATGAAATGTTTCATGTGTTAAATATGTATTTATTGGTCTGAATGCAACGTAGTTGTAACAGGACAGATTTCCCAGAAATTGAACTACGTTACCCTGCCTGCTCCAAAACTTAAAACTGTTCCCTTCCATGTTTGGAAAAGCAAACAACACTACAAAATGGGGCCTTTAAATATAAGCTGATGAGCTCTGAAGCACCTAGACTTGAACTGCTTCTTGATTTCACTGTATGCTAACTTCCACTCGATTTTCCCTTACCTCCACATTTAGAATCATGAACACCTTATTCCTTGGGTATGCATTTTTGCATTACAAAGCCTTTACAAGATTAAAAAAGAAACCAAATTCATCACCTTCCTTCTTCAGATGAACTGATTATAAATGAAACGATTTGAACAAGTACAAAGTTATTCGAGTTGCAGGCTTGTATACTATTTTATCTCATGTTTTGTATCAGCAGCCTAATCCCCTTTGTATGCCTGCCATAACCAGTTTTCTGAGCAGTCTCCTTTCCTCTCTATGCCCTTAGGAAAGATGAATTTTGTAGCAACTACAGCCTTAGAAGACATTTCATGATCATCCATCTTTCTCTCCTGCGTTATCAAGCACAGTGAAAATGTAAACGCCTGTTTCTCAGCTGTAAACTGCACTGCGTTGCTATGATCAAGTTGCTCAAAGTAAAATCTTTGTAAGGCAACAATCTGTGATTTTTCACCTTGCTACAGCTTCATTTGTCATATGCACCAATTATTAATATACTTTCATTCTAAAGTAATTCGAATTATTTACCTGAAAATCTGATTCCAGATTAGCAAAAATTCTGAATATAATTTTATTTTTTTAAATCTTGCCTTCTGAGTGTCTGTTTACAAGGCAGTTTAAAACCTTAATGTTTTCATTCGACTACCTGTAAGCTGACACTGCTATTTTTAGCTTTCTTAGTGAATTGTTGAAACAACTATGGCAGGGACTGGGCTCTGGAAAAACAATAGGTTACTTTGTAAAGAATAATTGTCTTTAATAGCCAAAAAGAGGTCATCAAACCCCAGTTTAACTTCTAGATTAGATATATATAATTCAACTACTCCTGCATGCAAATCATTTATTTAATTAAGTATACTGTGTAAACTATTTACTTCTTAAAAATCTCAAATATGCTTACAAGCGGGTTGTTAATTCTAATATTTGAATGCTAGTCCAGTTGAATCATCATCAACATTAAGAACTTAGAATACATTTGTGTACCTGAAATTCTGAGGACTTCGCCCCCCTCCCCCACCCACTGGTTTAATTTTAACATTCAGAGGACTCAAAATGTCCCAGCCATACAGCACATAGAGTTTCAGGGAAAATGAAGGTTTCCTTTAAAAGATATGATTTCACACTCCAACAGAATGTGGTTAGCCTACCCGGCTTCTCCGAGATACAGGAAGTCCCAGCGACGAGCCATTGTCTACATCTCCCATAAGGAAGTCTGAAATACTACCAGAAAGACAAAGAGCTGTTACTTCATTGCTTACCCTAATTTCAGATCAGTGAGAACAAAAATTCAGGTAGTCTCAAATATTCTTTGGAAGTTTTGCAAAAACATTTTTGGAAGTAGTTTTGAATTCCTTGCAATTTCATACCATCATTGCTTTCCTTGTAAAGAAGAAACACTAACATCATGGCAAAGCAGTAGAAATGTTATAGATAAGGTTAATATAAGTTAATGTATCAGACAATATTTGTCTAAAAGAAAATAAAAGGGTTTGTTGTTTAGTCTTAATTTGATTCAGCTCCACTGAACACTTAAAACTCCTGAATTCCAACTTACACGTTTCCAAATGTGAATGCCAATGTCTCAATGGAAGAAAATACTTCACTGAAGAGTTCTCTTTTGTTTTCTTCATTAACTTCTTTGAAGTTCACCGCTAAGGAAAAAATCAAAACCAAAGGGTGAGAGGTGGAGCCAAGCAAGTTCACCATGCCTGACAACAAATTCATACACAAAGTAACAGAACAGGCAATATTATATTTTTACTGTATTTTTAAAGATTGTTCAGAAAAAAAAAAAACTTAAACTCTATAGGAAAGAAACAAAAACCATCCAGATGGCATTTGTGAAACAAACACGATTTCCACACTGCAAACTGATTACTTTCTCACATCCTGCATCTCCCCATTAAACAGCAGCTTTTTGTGAAAACATGGTGACATCAGGGGAAGATAAAAACATTAAAAACATTTACTATCAAGCATCAAATCACAGCAGCAGCAACACCATAGAGCAACTCACAAAAAAAAAGGCAAAATGTTTGAGCGATTGCTTGTCTCCTTTTCTGGGTAGAAATTTCAGAAGAGCAGCAATAGTTCGAAAGTCCCCTTCCCAGTCTGTATGCAGTCCTGTGCATGCCCAGAACACAGGATTTCTGACTTGAGTATCGATAAACAAAAAGCTACCAAAAGGTAATGTCCTCTGCAAAAACTTCAACTGCTGCTTCATCATCTGGCAAAACCCCTTCAGGCTGCTAAAAGTGAGAAGAAAGGCAGCAGAGCTATCATTGTTCCTAAATAGGAAAGGGAAAATTTGTGTACAAACTAAATGAACTGGTGACCAAGAGCAGTATTCAGACAATTAGAAGTGACCCTGGAACAGGCTTCCATAACCAACTGGAATAATATGGGGATGAGAAGAGTGATTCATTCAGACTTTCTATTAACAGAACTGCCAGACAAGGGGAAGAAGGAAGAATGCAGAAGACAAAAAACTCAATTTCTAAATCATTGGCCACAGGAATTTTTGAATAGAAGTCAAGCACGCCCCTTTGAGCGAAAGCAGAGTCTTCTAGATGGAATTCTGTTTTACTTCGGGACAAAATTCTACATTAGGAGTTATGTTCAAAAGCTTAATTTTATTTAAATAACAATATTCTTCATCATCTGTATTCCTAAAGTACAGTAATTATTACCTTATTTTTCAGAGATACCATGTTCGCACATAAAGCTTTTCATCATATTTATTTTTATTCACTCCTCCTTCAAAGACCTGTGGCTATTAATTTATCCTTCCTACATTTCAAGTACTACTGTGCAAATAATGGATCATAATGACTGCTAAAAGTAGGAGAAATTAATTCACTTTTAAACGTTGGCCATTCTATAGACATTTTCTCAACAAATTTAATTAATAGACTTTAATCTTAAAGAGCATTCAAGCTTCCTGCCAGGTGCCTAAACACTAATGGGTAACAAAGAATGCTCAGCAATCTACTCCCCATTAGATTTCCTTTGTGAAAGGAAAAGTTTTTAACCAGTGAATTAACAGAATTGAATCCATTTCTTTTTATACAGTATGCCGACAGGTCTGAACAACTTTATAACAACCATTTCAGTACAAAGCTATTACAGAAAACAGTATTTGTCTTTTGGGCTATTTCCACAATTACTTGCAGACCTGGAAAAATGTGTTGTAACAAGCCTACAGCAATACAAAACACATTACAAAAATGTTAACAGTCTTCATAGCCACAGTTCACTGCTACATAAATGCTTCTCCCACCTCCTCACTGCTCTGCTACATTTCGTGATTACATAGAAGTCCCTGGAAATTTGTTCAAAAGGAGACTAAATAAAGCTCCACAGAGAACAATTTCTGGACAACTTTGTAAATACCAGTGGTTTAAAAGCAAAATAAAAATCAGGTTAGTTCAAAGCCTTGACTTTTCAGAGATAACACTGCTAATAAACCTCAACTTCACATTCCAAGTCAGTAAGCAGCAACCGCTATTATGAGATCTATTGATTAACAGCAACTAATGACTGGAAAAATCATTTGAGTGCCAGCATGACACGCAAATTGCTTCAAAATTAAAAGAACCAATAAAAACCAACTGTATGTTCAGAGCACTTACCTCTGCAACATTCCTATATCCATTAGCTGCAGAATCTTCAGACAAGAGCAACTCTTTCACTTTGCTAATGAGACATTAATACAGATAAACTCTCCCTAAAGAAATGCCGCCTGTTTCACTCTGCCTTCCTGTTCCAGGAAGCGTTTTGTTAAGCTATACATGTTGTCTACTAGAGAAACTCTTTCTTTTCAGGATCTATCAAAAAGCAAATAAAAAAACTGAATTTTTTTTTTCAGAATCATCACATCTCCCCTCCCCCTCCAAAAAATCAGTCCAATCTCCAATTCAATTGAATACAAACAGCTTTCTTCTCGCTTATAACCGCTGGAATGCTGATGTACTTAACATCAACTTTAAACCAAGCACGCTCTTTCCCCAGGACATCCTGACTGCACACAATAGCTACTGACAACAATGAACTATAGTAATACTGCCATGTCTGGAAATGACAGCTATCTATCTATAGTTCTACGCATTTCAAAGCGGGTATGCAACACAGCAACGCTTTAAAGTAAGACTTCAGACGGCACATGATGAGCTTAGAAAAATTATTGGGTAGCAATACATTAAGAACAGGAAGCCAGTACCTGAAACGCAAACCTGACTTGCATTGAAGTGGATCTGTATTTGCAGAACTAGCAAAATCATGTTCAGATTGAGGTATCCTCATCAGAATGCTGTCCAATACTCCTGAGTTTTAACTTGTGGGTCATGCCATCAAAACTTTCTGAATCAATCACAGTATGTGCTGCACAACCAGCAGTCACCATGGGACTTCGGGAAGCTGCAATCCCAGGAGATGGCACAGTGCCCAAGGACACCCACACAAAGCTTTGGAGACTCAGCAAGGACACTGTTGAGCACCAAGACTAAAGTGCAGCCAGAGCCTTTAAAAGACAACTCTTAGAGAACTTTCTGTGACCACAGTGTACAGTGCCCTCCTGTCCCCCTGCTAGTACAAGGATGACACAGCCCAAGGGCCCAGGGGACACAGAGCCAACAAGAGCACCCTCGCTTCCTCCCCTTCCCCAGAGACTCATGCAGGTCTGCAAGCAGCACCACTTCCCTGCCAGAGGCAAGCACAGCCGGGATACCTCAAGTACAGAGTGGATAACTTGCTCTCTGCTGGTCGGTTTTCTCACATCTGACAGGCTGATGGGGTGCCACTACCACCATCCACTTCCCCCAACAGGAATATAACTTCAATCCATACTTCACTAGCTGCCTTTTAAGCACAAAGCCAATAAGCTGACTTGTTGGATCTAACCATCTATGCAACCTGTTTTTCTTTCCTTCAACTCCCAAACACTTTCAAGAACCCTTCAGAACTGTTTCAAAAACAAACACCACTCAAATGAAAACAACCAAAACCAGAAAAAAAACACCAAATGTCCTCCAAAATGGCAAGTATTTTAATGCTTGTTATTATTCTGTACTTTAAAAACAACTTTAGAAACCATAAACAAAAAATCAGGAGTAAAGAGCAATAAAATGCCAACTGGAAAAAGGAAAATAGGATTCATGGGATCTCACAACAATGGTGCAACAGCAGGCTGACCAAGCACCCCAGTCCTATGGCTCTGTGCCATACAATTCCACCAACCTGTACTGGCAACCTCTCCACTAGCTCACTATAATGTAAGTTTTAGGAACTGTTTCCTACTCACACCATAATGAATTTTGTCATGAATTTACACCACAGATAAACCAAATTGAAATTATTTCACCTTCCTGTAAGCATCTTTTTCTATTCTAGTAATTCAACTAAATCAAAAGGTGGAACTTAGAGCAAAAGAACACTGCAGCCTTGAATTCAGCGTGTGATCATGAGAACCATGCACTTTGTGTTGCTTGTGGCCCTCAACTATTTTAAGGATACCAAGTGGGAAAATAACTATGACTGTGTGCCAGACTGGAAAGTAACTTCCAGAAACAGGAGTCTGAACAGGTCCCAAGTAAGAAGCTTCAGAGAGTCTCCATTCTTCCAGATTGAGATGTCATTTAAAAAGACAATTCAGAAAACACACAAGCAAGCATGGATGAGGAGCACAGTCCAAGCAGGGAGACATAGTGAATCGAATAATGTCCAACCTGTATTAGCTAAAAGTTTACAGCACCTGGCAGGATTCACCCCAGAGTACTGCAAGAGTTAGCAGATGTTACAAAGCTGGACTCATCTCAACAATTTACCACAGGTCTTGGGAGCCCGGAGAGCACCCTGCTGGCTGGAAGTCAGCCAATGCTATACCAATCTCTACAAGAAGAGCACGAGAGAAGACTCAGGAAACCACAGACTTGTTAGCCTAACCTCTGTCCTTGAGAAGTTAGAGAGATTACTCTGGGTGCTATTGAAAGGCATTTAAATAATTAATTAGGCATAGTAAACACGGACTGAGGAAAGACAAATCCTGTCTTAGTGATTTGATATTCTACTACAGCAAGGTTACTTAGCAAAGGAAGAGAAGGCAGACGATGTGATCTTTCTGGATTTTAGTAAGGCCTTAGATATAATCCCTCACAGTAGCCTTTCAGACAAATTGTCCAAACCAGAGATGAACAGGCACAAGCTATGCTGGGAGATCGGGCAGAGCTCAAAGGGTTGTAGTGAACAGGGCTACCTCTGGCTCTGGTAGGTCACTAGATGTGTTCCCCATGGCTCAATTCTTGTTCAACAGGTCTGTTCTGTTCAATGTTTTTAATCAATAGCCTGGACACAGCAGTTGCATGTTTCCTTAGCAAGTTTGCTGACAATACTGAGCTGGAAAATGCTACTAACTGGAACAAGCTTCCTAGAGAGTGGCTGATGGGCTGCCCCATGCCTGCCAGTATTCAAGAAGCATTTGTATAATGCCCTCAATAACATGCATTAAGTTTTTACTTGCCTTGAAGTGATCAGGCAGTTGGACTTATCTTTGCAAGTCTCATCCAATTCTACTACTGTATTCAATTAAAGGTACAGTCAGAGAAATCAAGTGGCTTTTTCTCCCTCCATATTTTCCTACAAGCTCAGTTTAAAATAGTCATATCTAACATTACTTGTTCTGCCAAACTTCAATCTCTGTATCAAGATTAAGGTAACAAGCTATAGCTAGTTTTTCCTTCAATTTAAAAGAAAAAGCATTAGACAGCAAAAGAACAGAACTGCAAACATAATGAATCAAAGCAGAATCCTGCAACTCCAGCACATTCATGCCATTCCCAGTGGAGTACCTGAAACGTGACTGAGACAGCTTTGAATGAGGAGGCACAAGTACTCTAATTTTTACTAATACTTGAAACATTCCCACTTGCAATAGTTTAAAGGGGTGGTAGTGTCCTGTGCAGACATACATCTAAATCATAGTGCAACTCGTCAGACTTAAGAGAATGCATCACAAGCCAGATCCTCTAGTCTTCTCACAGTCACTGTTTCTAAAGGTACTCATTCAGAGTGAAGGCAGTTATTTGCTAAAATCACCAGTTGACCCTAGCTGAAGTTCCAAATACAAACTAGATTTGAAAACCTGGCATTCTGCAGAGGTTCTCAGACAAGTTTCTAGAATCTAAAACAATCATGTTCCTATTTCTGAAGAGGGGAAAAAAAATCTGCGTAAATTCCAGGCCATTGCTATTTCATAGTTTCCTAAATAAACATCGGAGATTTTTCCATTGCAGGTTAAACTTCCTAGTCATAAATCTGACTCCAGAGTGCTTCCACATCTTTTTATAGTTCTGTCCTCCAGTAACAAGAAGCAGATTATCCAGATGAATTTATTTCATAATGTCACATTAACACAGCCTAAGAAGACACAGGAAAAAGGATACTATTTCTAACCAACTGAGTCTCACATTCTTGTAACTTCCTGTTTATTCAGAAGGAACATTACTTTTAGTGAAATAACCATAGTTGAAAAATCTGCGAGCTTGTGTGTTACTGACAGGCCACTGTAAGCAAACACGAGGTCTGATACAATCACTATTCACCACAACATGCTGTATTTTACTTCCTCAGTTCCAGCTTACCTCATTTTGAATACAAAAATGGAGTAATACAATATTCACAAAAACCAGCTGCAAAACCCAAACATGTACTGAAGACAAACTTACATTTACTTGCTACAGATGATGCTATGAGGGAGGTAGTCCTTTTTCATACAGCAAGTTTTGCTGTTCTCAGAGAAGACTGAAGTTACTGATAGAGCTGAAGCCATGTTACTCTCCATTTCTACCACTAGATGTGAGGATATATAAATACATATATATATAAATATGTAAAAGTACAATCTGTATCAAAGGCTACGAATACTGAGGCAGCGCTGACTGAAACCATGGACTTCAGTTTCCCCTGAAGCTGTTTCCTTGACAATTAACTCGGGAATTCCACAGTGCCAGGTCACACAGCACTGAACCAGAAGAATTCACCACAGAGTAAGTTTACGTCTGCTTAGCCAAAGAATAATCAGACCATTGAAGTCAGCCTCTAAATTCTAGGCCAATTGAATGTACACTGCTTATAAAACAGATGAATAACTCCATGAGAAACTACTTAGAATTCTACTAATAGTAATTTCATACCACAGTGTGTTATTTCATCAGATAACACCATATACCTATTTATTTAGCCTAAGTGAAAGAACACATTTGTGTCAGATTAGCACTGTGCACCATGCAATCACTTAGGAGGTATCTCAAAATTAGATTTTCACTGCCAAATCACTGCCTATGAAAAATTATTCAAAGAAATAATATAAACAAGGGGAAAACAAGTCAAAACTTGCTCTCAACTCCAGCTCAAGGACAAAGACCAACTGTAACAAAAACCTTTCCTACCATGCTTTTTTTTCCTGAGGCTTGTCATCATACAAGACATTCATACTTAAGAAAGCCCAAGTGAGCTACAGCTGGGCCTTCAATGCCTCCAGGGATGGGGCATCCACAGCCTCCCTGGGCAACCTGTTCCAGTGCGTCACCACCCTCTGTGTGAAAAATTTCCTTCTAATATATAACCTAAACCTTCCATGCCTCAGTTTAAAACCATGCCCCCTTGTTTTCCTAACAGTAGTTTTTCTTCCCATCTATGAAATCATGCAGTCCTCCACGACTATAGCTCCTGACAAACTCAACATATTAACAGTAAGTGAACACACTAACACATAATAAATGTTTGTAGCTATTTCTTTATTTGAAGTATAGAACCTGCTCAGCATGAGAAGAAGTGTTTTTAGTATCTGTGTTACCAAAAAGCAGCTTAGCAGAAGTTATTTTTTCTACTCATCATCCAGAGAAAAGATTGAATCGTAAAATAACTATTCAGGGCAGCCATTCGTCAAACCAGGAAGAAATAGATGCACAGAAGCACCAATACAGCTAAGCAAGGACCAATGCTACTGAAACTCAATGATGGAACAGAGTGTGCAAGGATGAGAAAAGAAACATGTATGATGCCAGGTTCAGAAAGCTGCAAATATGCTGAAGAAATTGATTAGAATTCAAAACAAGTGGAAGACACAGAAGTTAAGCTTGAAAACAGCTTATCTAAGGTGGCTGTAGAGTTGTGTTCACTGAATTGGCAGTGTATTCGGGCGTGCTAAAGCAACTAGGAAATGAGAAGAAACCTAGAACAAGGAGAAAACTTAAGCTAGGTTTCTCTTACAAAAGATATTCCACATGATTTAAGATAGGCAAGAGGTGCTGTACATTTAACCCTTCTCAAAGCATTACCCAGGCCACATGGAAGAAACCATTTGTTCCACAGGAATACTGGCCTTACTCCAGAAAAGCAAGAGCTACAATCAAAGGTTACACAAAAAAGAAACAGCTATGATTTATTGGACTGAACTGTGTGCTCCACAATTTGTATTTGTCTGAGACGCAAAGACCTGCAACAGTAAAGGCCAGCAACAGAAATACTTACATACATGCCTCCAAGCCCTTTTTTTGTTTATACCTTAACCATGCTTATGATCTATTTGAAGGAATCTATGAAAAAAGCATTAAGACTACTCAGACTTCGACTGTTCACTCAAATATTTCTTCACTTTATATAAATCTAACACCATCCCTACAAATTCACAGAACTAAGCAAAGACAAAAAAGACAATCTCTATGCAGATAAACCCAAGGGTTATGGTTCCATAATATTATCCTGAGATAGAGAGGTAAAGATCTAGATCAAAAGCTTGTGTTTATAGAATTCAGTGTGGTTTTGCAGATAGCTTCTTATAAACAGGATTTTGTTACAGCAACATAAGCTTTTCAATATTAAATTTCACTTTGAAAAGGTATGTTGCACTATTGCACTATTAAAAAAACTTCTGTATAAATGGAACCCCTCCCTACAACTCGAAGACACAGCTAGTCAAGTGACTCACTAAAATTCTCCCAAGTTTGAAAATAAAAACTTCCTTACCTTTTACTTTTGCAATAACTGTTCCTGCAGCGCTAAGAATATCAACTGAGTTTAGAGTCTGATGTTTATTTATCACTGCTTTTAAAACACGCAGCAACTCTCCCAAGCGTTCGTGTACAACATGATGCAGTCCATCTTGGTTTTCTGAAGAAATAAAGAAGAAACTACATTAAAAACAGCAAATCAATGAGTTTAAAAACCACTTTGCTAGTGTTCAGCACAACAAAATAGGGCATGTAGAAGCTGGGCCTGCTTAGAACAAGCAAATTTAAAAAAAGATACTAGCATTTGCCAACAGTTTACATGTAAATGACATGCATCATGGCAAGAAGTCATTTCTCCAAATAAGACAAGCAAGAATAACTTAAAAATAGAAAATAAACCCCACAACCTTAGGGATTATACACCAATACTGTCAGGTTTCTGAATTAAACCATTCTATGTCATTTTTGTTGATCACCAGTCCAATAAATACGTAGATTCAGACAAGTAGATCCAAAGGTAGATTTGGATTGCATATTAGATTTTTCCTAACTTGATACAAAATTCAGTGCCACCTCTGCGTATTCATAGAATTAAAGATTTTTGGTAAGTGTTGGGTTTTTTGCATTTAACTCATGTCAATTAAATCTTAAGCATTTTTACCATACATTCCTAGATCTCTAAAGGTCTTTCTTTAAGCATGTTAATCCTGATTAAAAACAAACAAAAACCACCTTAACACCTAACTAATTCTGTAGAATTAGGCCTAAACTAGAAAAATTTTCATGTAAGCACTCATACAGTGCTCCATCCATGCTTTTCTACATCATATTTCTCTTGCTTTGTGCCTCCAAGCTCTTATCCCTCTTCAAAAAAAAAAAAAAAATTTCTTGCTGCATACATTGCACAGGTTAAGCCACAAACTCTTCCTTTCTGCTGCAGAAGAGGTGTTGGTGCACATAATTTAAGTTTCACATGCATCAGAGTGCTGTGTTGCAAGTTGTGGTAAAAAGCTTTCAAACTCTAGCTTATGAAAAAGAAAAAGAGGATCTAGTACAAGCTGACTCACTTCCCCATAGAGAAAAAGGAATGGCATTTCTGTGTTGTCTGCGGGCATTATAACAAATAAGTCAATACAGACAATTTCGTATAGTGCCAATAGAGCCAGCGTTTTCAGATTTCAGTTCCAATTTTGAGTCATTTTATTCAGACTAAGACATTACATTTGGATGAAAAGTACCTATTTCTTTCTAAAAAAAAAAAAATAAATAAAAATCAATGAACTACAACATGACATGTCAGTGTGGTGTATCACTACTGTCATGTGTGTAGGTGGGAAGGCTACAAACAAATAATACAGCATTATATCCAGTACAAAAGTTCCCAAAAGTAAGTCCCAAAAAGACTATTGTGCTCCAGTTTTTATCTCCCTAGATGTCAAATACAAGAAGATTTTTTTTCAACTTGGGATAGCTTACACATTGTCAAAGAAAGAACCTTGACTCAGGAAGTGGACTAAAGCAAAAATATTATCTACCATTCACTGGCACTTTGTGTGCTTTTTCCTGCTGGACAAGAGTAGGAAGCTCCATATCCTTAACAGGATACACAGAAGTCTAGAAAAACCCATCTTATATAACCGGAGTTTAAGAAAGCTCTGTGTAACTCATCAAACACAGTAGTAGCTTTAATCTTTGTTTACAAGCACACATTCCATAACTTTTGACTGACAACAGAAACACAACAACAGCAAAAATCATCAAGAGGCTGGCACTAAATGTGGCTAGAAATCTGTACATACACATAACAGAGGTAATTTACAACAAACACACACTGATGCAAAGGCTCAAGATTTGAAATTTAATGCAGAGAACTAGGCTGTAAACTTCCCACCCTAAGTCACAGAAGCAGATGCTAGGACTCTGGATAAGAGATGACTTACAGGGAGCATGCAAGAAGTCTGCCAAATTAAATAAATAAAATCAAGAAAGGTGTGAAAATAGTGGATAAATTCAACTCCTTACCACCTGTCAGTTAAAAATAAACCCTTCAGTTAATTAAATGGAGTAAATGCTAGATTCAGAACAAAAAAAAGAAAAAAAAAGAAAAAGGTGATTCTCACATAAGAGACCTGTGCAACTTCTCATCAAAACACAACAGTGATAGAAGGTTGCACGGAAACAAGGACAGAGTAGATAAGCTCTTCTGAGTGCCCCCTCGGGTTACAAGTGAGATATGCTTTATTGGATCATGCCGGGGTCCAATTAGGCTGTGCCCAATGAAGCAGTGGGTGATACGGCTCAGGAGACTAGCCAAGACTGCCTGTTTTCTGCAGTACAGCTGCCTCAGAATCCCCTGTACTCACAGTTATTGCACCATGTTTCCTGGGCACTTCAGTAATTGCTTACAGACCTACTGTCTTCAAATTTGTCAGGTTCCTTCTGAACCTACCTCTGCAATCTCATTTTACTCTTCTTCTCGGTTTGCTGAGCTACAAAGCATTGTACAGAAACAAGTAACCTGCACCAGCTCAAGAACTTCCCTATGAAGAAAGCATTCAGAGGATGACAGAAGTATTTATGTCCAAATTTGCTTTGTGGTTGCTTTTGTTTTTTGCTGTTTTGGTTTTTTTTATACTTTTCTCCAGCTATTCACTTTTGGCAGTGGTCGGAGCTCGGACACTGAGTTAAACACAGCTTTAATCTGAACCAGCACTGCCACTGTCACCTTCAAATACTTGGAGAAGTTCATCATTACAGATAATTATAATGGTCCCTTTGGTCTTTAATCCATCAAAGGTTCAATTGTAGTCCCATCAAAGCAACAATAAATGCTGTCTGGAGTACTGAGTAACTCCAGCCAAAGGTAATGGAAAAAGAGAAAGATAGCAGTGCTGTACTGGTGCCCAGAAACCTCAACAGGAACCTACAACACAAAAAACATACCTGAAAATTCTAGTAATATGCTATTTTCAGGTAAGTGGATATTGGATAAAGATAGGCAATTCCATTTAGTTAGTTAAGAAACAAGTACAGTGACTAAAGTTACGAAACACGTTGTCTGTGTAGGTAGCATCTCATCTCTTCTTTCAAATCTTTGGGCACAGACAAACCTTCCAGAATCCCTCCTCGGTGATTAATAATTTAGATTGGCAGGACTGTGAAAGAAAAGCTGATTTGGAGGTATTTGAAGCTATACACCACAATCTTCCCCTATTACCTGACTCTATCTATCTAGAAGGCACACAGTTCTCACCTGAGGAGCATAAGGATCAGCTGCAGAGACTGTCTGCGCAAGTACACCACCCAACCAGAACCAAGTCTCTTTTGCAGACAAGATGGAGGCACCCCTTGTCTTCTGATGGGGGTGTGCCCACTTGTGGATGGAGAGAAAACAGTTCCTGATGATGGGATCTGGAATACCCACATATGTATCCCATAATCAGATCCTCTTGGTGACATGGTGGGCAGATTTCTTGTTCCCTAACAAGTATGGGACAGGGAAACAAGGTTAGAATGCAGTTGAGCCAGCCTACAGTTTGGTTCCAGTCCACCCTCGGGAAGGAGTGCATCATGGGCATGTCAGAAACTGAACAAGCAGTTCTGCAGAGTTCAGTAAAATGCACAAAAAGCTTGTCATTACAGGATAGGAACAGACTCTCAAGGCTCCTTACAGAAAAAAAGTCATATGGAAGGCTAGTTAAAATATAGCTGATATCAGGATGCAGTTTCTTAGTGTTAACATTTGATATTACCCTCTTAAACAAGTAGAGTTGGGGAAAAACAAAAGCCAAAAAACGGGAGAGAGAGAAGGCAGAGAGAAAAAATACCATAAAGGACACACTCTGAAACAGAAGCACTCAGTTTCAAAGGAAAATGCATGTTGAAAAACAGCTGCTGAGTTGAATTAGATGTCCCGGAGAACACTATCACTAAAATGACGCATTCAAGTATGAGGTTAGTTATTTACTCTCAAAAGCAGAACTCTGGCTATACCCAGCTGAGATTGCTTTGTTTTCCATCACTATTTGTTTACAAAGTATCTCAAACACTGTTTCTCTACCTCCCAAAGACAAACGGACTGCAACACAAGTAGGGAGGGCAGAAGCCATCAGGAACTACAGTGACCCCGCATTCAGGAGCTGATACTGACCAAACAGATGCTAACAGAGGGGTTTCCTGTTTGTGGTAGATTTATGAGCTTCAGGTACTAGCAGAATCTAAATATACCAACTTAATAGAAACAGTTTCAATATGGCTTAGAGACCAAACCAACCCTAGAGCAAAACAGTTCAGTAGGAAGAATGCATGAGGAAACGAGTCTCCAACAGGCTCCTGCAGCAGCGCACTCTGACTTAAGCAGTCACAGTAAATAAATAAATCAGTATTTACTTTCAGTTTTTCTTTTGTTCCCTCCTGTTGCACTGTATGAGTTCATTTATCTACATGCAGTCAAGCAGGAAATTCCTCCACCTATTGATGCTATATCAAGTTTAAAATATCTATCTGTGGTTCTCAAGCTTAGTAATAAAGATTGCAGCACTGTGGAAGGCTAATCGTGCTCCGGACCACAGGAATGTGACTTCCCCAGTGGTTCCTCAGCACAGAGGACACACAGGTCCAGATGCTTGCTTCAGATATGAGCCTCTTGGAACCTCTAGAAAGAACCAGCCAGCCCTTTTTCCCTTGGAAGAAAAGAGCTCCTGAAAGCGGAGAGGGGGAAAAAAGAAAATTAAAAAAGGCTTGAAAGAGCTTAATAGCTTGTCTACAAACCTTCTTTCATCAGGGTTTAAACCATCATTTACTTCAGCAGAAAACAAGCTTACTCAAAAATGTAAAGGCAACCACAAGGAAAGCATGCCATGTAAGAGAAGTAAATAAAGAGGTCTTACATCAAGACCTTAACTCTTCATCTGCAGGAAAAAAAAAATAAAAAAAGATGCACAAGAACGATACAGCAAAGCAGCTGGCTCACTAAAGCTGGCAGGCTTCCTTCTCAGAGGCACACTGGCCTATCATCACATCTCACTGCTCAATGCAGCAGTCATACGATGTGGTGACTGAAACATCTACTTCTGGTGTAAAAAAAAATAAAACCACAAACTATCTTTTTTCTTTCATTTCAGGTATTTCTCAAAGGGAAGTCCTTTAAAAACAGAAAAC